ACACCGGATCATTGGGGTTCTTAAGGATCTCAGAACGCGTCTGACGCTGCTTGTTCAGGTCTTTCAGGACGTTCTCGTCCAAGACAGAGGAGGAGTTCAGCTCCTCCCGAGTGGTCTCAGGTCTCATGAGTACCATCTCAGCAATCTCTCCAGCCTTGAGGTTGGTTAGGAAAGACTCAGCCGTCATTTCCTCGAGGTTCAGTATCTCTGCAACCTCTGGCAACGGCTCCAAGTGGACACCAGATGCCTTGACGGGTAAACCGGTCTCGCCATCGAAGATGTGATAACACTCTTCCTCCGGCCTTGTCGGAGGAGCCCGGGCCCTGGACTCCGAGTCGCTTGAAGCGACGTCGATCGGAACGAAGTTCGGATCCGACTTGAGGCGGCGGCGGCGTCGTTGACGACGGCGACCGTGACGTCGAGCTTTGCTGCCCACGTCTAGGGATGTCGGCGCTACGACATCCGAGGCACTCGTGGTCTCGTGTGGTACTGTGGTACCCACACAGGAAGCGTGTTTGACGCCTTCCTCTTCAGTTAAGGTCTGGGCGACCGCGTGTGGCACTGTGCTACCCACACAGGAAGCGTGTTCGACGCCTTCCTCTTCAGTTAAGGTCTGGGCGACCGCGTGTGGCACTGTGTTACCCACACAGGGAGCGTATCCGACGTCTTCCTCTTCAGTTAAGGTCTGGGCGACCGTGAGTGGAACTCTGTTACCCACTCTGAACACGTTGTTCTCAGTGTTTGTGACAGCTGCAGCTGTCTGCGGAACTAAGTTACCCGCCTGTGGACCTAAGTTACCCACTTGGCCAGCGCCTCTTCTGGGCGCTGCCACCATCAAAACATCCTCGGAGTCGTCATATACGTCGACGACTCCCAAGCATCTGCCGGATGCTTTGGTACCCTGGCAGCTCTTGCGGGCGCCCCGGGTCCTGACAGAGATGGGAACATGGCTCACCAATGCTCTGTCGGACTGCGCAGGGCGGCTGGCACCGATTGCCTTGCCTCGCCAGTCGATCCAGGGCTCGTGCTTCTCAAGCCAGGGCATGCCCAAGATCATATCATATGGATCCATATCGAGAGCAGTGAGCTGTTCGAGGCTGTCAAAGTCTTCAAACTTGACGGCCAGATCCACTTGGACGTTGGGGACAGTGACGACCTTCCCGTCGGCCAGTCGCACTGACACCGCCCCGTTGCCCTTGCTTTCCCTCAAAGCATCGGACAACTTGTTGCTGCTGCGAGCAACCGTCTGGCGGCGTGCGAAATTTTTCGACGCCCCAGAACCGATCAAGATTTTAAAGGGATGATCGTATCCCCGTACACATCCGTGTACTACGAGCAGCCCGCCGCTGCTCTTCGCCGATTCGAGAGTGCAAAGACCCTCAGGGGCTAAGTTTCCGTGGTACGCGCCACCGGCGCACCCATCACGAAGACTTAGTTCTTCCCCAGTAGGGCGCCCCGCCCCTACTGGTTCCCGGCGTTTTCCTGTCCCCGGGATCCTGGCTTCTGCCAGCGACACTTGAGGACGGGCTTGGGGAAGGACCGTCTGCGGAGTCTTTCCGCGGGACAGTCGCGCTTGAAGTGGCCCATCTTCCCACAGCCGAAGCAGCGGATGTCACGCTGTTCGGCGGACCCGAGTTCTATGGGAACTGGTCCGTTGAGGCTTGTTCGATCGGGAGCCGACAAGGCACTCCCAGGCCATGCTGAGGCCGGCGTACGCGCCTGGCGATGGCTGTACTCTTCTTGAAGAGCCACTTGAATCGCCTCTTCAAGGGTGCTTGACTGCACCCGGAACAGCTGAGTGCGTGCGGGGCCAACTCGAAGGCCGTCCATGAACGCAGTCATCTTGATGTGTTCGTTGAGTGGGTTTCCCACTAGGGACACCGTGAGCCCCCGTATATTTCGTGCACATACTGGTGCAGCTCGCGCCTCCCTTGTTTACACGAGAGGAAGCGCGAACGCTGGCGGTACTCGTAGTTCGACGGAAGGAACGCGGCTTGGAGCTGTTCACACAGCTGAGCCCAGGATGTGAAACATTCAGGGGATGTTGCTTCCCGTGTGTACACCCAACGCTTAGAACGGCCGCTAAGGTTGGAGAGTGCAAAAGCAACACGCAGTTGTTCAGTCGAGATCAGAGCCAAGTCCATCGCGAGCTCTACTTCTCGGACCCAGAAGTGAAGGTTCTCGCCTTCCTTTCCTTCATACGGCTTAACCTTCAGCCGTATTGGCTTCGGGTGAGGCGGATTTGCTTCCGCCGCCGGAGCCTGCAGGTTCTACCGCACATGCGCGATGAGGCCCTGCTCGTACGCGTCGAACGCATTGACGCGCTCGAGCTGCTCAGCCGGTGTTGACACCACCAGGCTCTGCAGGGCCTCCATCGCGAAGATGCCTACCATCCTTCGAACCGACTCGAGCTGAGAGTCGTTCATATGGGACAAGTCGTTCCTATCCATGGCAACGAACTTCGGAGAGGTTCAGGTAGTCTACCCGCGGTGGCGTGGATTGACTACAAGTGCTACCAAGTGTGACGGGGTCACACAGCACCTTACGCTAGAGGAAGTTATCTTCCGAGAGTATACAAACTTTCAGTGAACGGCGGTTCACAGGTCCCCTCTTTATTTAAAAGAGAGCTAAGTGACCTAAATAAGGTAGATTTTAAACTGAGTTCTCTGGATATTCATATCCAGAGTTTTAGGGGCGATCCAAAACCGTCGACGATCCTCTATAAAATATAAGGGTGCTACATTTGTAATTATTAAAAGTATAGTTGCTCGCAAGTGATAGGCTAAAAGGACGGAATACCTAATAAACTACGGTAAAGCATAAAAACACTGGTGAATGTCGTTCATAGCCGCCTGGGTCAACATTCACGCTATCTGATTTTAGGTGGATGTTGCTCCAATATACGATACCACCGATGGTGGGTGGTACAGTACATGAAGGCTACATGATTTAAAGAAGGGAATAAATGAATACTAATAGGATTCCTATCGAGGCCGTCTCGCGTCAAGACAGCAAGGTCGGACGACAACGCACGTTCGACCGCGGCTTCTTCATTTTGCTAAGCTGTATCCTCATTCACATCAACCTTACGACGCAACGCGTAAGTAAGCCCGCCTCCCTCTCACACACACACTCACACACACACACGCACGCACACACACACACACATCACACACATCAGAGGGAGAGAACGAATTACCACGTCGGGTATTTCAAAGGGAGGACTGACAGTAGAGAAAATGATTCTTGCTCCACTTAGTCATCCGACTCGCAGGAATCCTCAGCGCTCATCTTTCTATGTCGCCGTCACTCGAGTGAAAACGTTATTGCAGTTGTATCTCATGCCCCCCCTTACGAAAGAGTTTTTGGAGTATTTTACTCCAAGTCGTGATGCGCTGGCAGAAACCCAAAGACTTCATGCAATTGAGGATCAAACAGATTAAGAAACCATAATGCTGTGGAAAAATTGTTACAGGTCTTCTTTAAAATACAGTACTTTCTTAAGTTAGGGTACCAACTTGTTTTCAAGCTTTCGAAGTTCGGGGATAGCCACTTAAATGAATGACTATCATTCTCGCTTGGTTTGTTGATGTCTTCTTCTAGACTGGAAGTCTTAATTAAATCGCAATTCTTCTCCTTTTTTTCTTCTAAAAAGTCCTTCATTCCGCACTAGTTATTACTTTTTGAAAATACCGTAATATCCAGAGCTTCACCGGGCTTAGCACGGCATTAGTATATTATAGGTAGATTAAGTTTGGGTTTAGTACAAACTATAAGTCACCTATAGCAATGCAATGTCGTTGACCAATGGTTGGCTTTGAGCGACTTTGGTACTTTGTACCAAATATCCCGGAGTATGACGTGTCATACTCCTGAAGTGTGAAGTGTCATACTTCATGTAACCAGGGTACACTTAGGGCTACGTACCCCGTTACACGCATGGTGCTGTGTGACCCCGTCACAGAAACCTTACTGCTCACCCTACATTTCATTTCCTGACTCGCATCTTGCGCCTCTGATACGCTGACAAGCTGCAGCCGAAATAGCATACGCGAAAGCGTAACGCTGAAGGAGGAGATACATCTCCACATAACCATCGTTAATAGAAAAGTTGGTAAACCGTAGGTGAATGTGCGATTCTAATTTACAAATATTTTTTTGAAAAGATTAATTGAAATTCAACCAATCCAAACTCATATTTAATCAGGGTGACATTTACAATACCACCTGCTAATAAGAGGAAGAAACATGTCTGTAATAGCTCGACGGCTCTTTCTACCGGTCCACCCTCCCAACTATACGAAGAAACCAAAAATTTGATCGATGTGATGCGCAGCGGCGGTGGTCTATGGCCAGCAACCGAGCAAGACGAGGTCGAGGAGAACGTTAGTTTGACGTCCAAAAAGTGTACACAACACGCTCTTTTTTTCCAATAGGTTGACTATCAAGAACTCACCTGGGAACCCTCGCCTGGTATTAATAGCTGAAGGTGAATTTTAAGAAGGAGACTATCGACTTCGTCTGGCTACAAGAGGACGAATGCGCCCATCGCGAAAGAAGAAAAGGATTAACGGCCTTCAGGCTGAAGGCCGTTAATCCTTTTGGCTGAAGTTCAGCCGTAGATACAGTGAATCTTAAGCTCGCGTCGCACTTAGTATGTACTGTTAGCAATACAGTTTTTTTTACAGACCTGGTGGACAAATCCAGTCAGTACATATGTACGTACATTATTATGGGAATTCCTGCTTTAGCAAGAACCTACGCAATTACTGTGTACAGCGTATAACTGCACGCTTCGATCACATGTAGCAGTTTGCTCACCTGTTTCTTTGCCGCCTCTGCAGCACGAACGCCCCTCAACCAAAACAATGCTTTTTACCGGGAAAACAGGTTGTCGGCTTGCAGAAAAACTTTTGTCATTTTCTGCATGTTGTCCATGGTGCCGTTGTAAAGGAGCTTCACGGGAAGGTTTCCGCCAATGTCAGTTTGACAAATGTAAGTCAGCATAAACCCTTCGGGCCCTTCAACTCTTGCATCGTCTTCGCAATGAAAGCATGAGAAAAATATGTGACCGCGAGTTATTCCTGGACGCTCTCTCGCGAAGCTACCAGCCCACCCAGAAAAGGCTTCTGCGTATTCACGCAGACACTCACGTCGGCATCCTCGTTGAGGTCACTAGCGTCGAATGTCTCGATCACTTCAAAATTTGCCTCATTGAGATCCCACAAACATCGATCCTTAGGGTCTTTGCTATCGACGAAATCCAAGAATCTGTCCATGGAAATTCCCGTAATCAATACCTCGATCTTGAAAATCGCAAAGGGTGTTTTGTTTGCCGTCATTTCGTAGATGTCTCCACCTTTCGTGGTCTTTATCATCTTCCAGGGACACTCGTCACTCAAGTAGTACGCTAATGTCTCTTTCAACTCGTGAAGGCGTAGTTTGTACTCTGCTTGAACAGACCCACTTCCCGGAACAACCGAGAGCGTACGACGTCTTGGCCTTACTTGCGTTGGTGTTTTAGGTGCTACTGCATTTGACTGCACGCTTCTTTTATGCAGGTTTGGTTTGTCTGACGTGGATATGTCCATTCGGCCTGCATAGATCCAGGGGTGCAGTGTAAGAAAAAAACCGTATGTAGCGACACAATAGCATAAGCGTTGGTGAAAAGAGAATCCGTCGGCTAATGCAATCACTAACAGGATGGAGGCTGCGAAAAGTGACATCCACAACCCAATAGCCGAGTTCATGGATGTTCTATCAGCTCCATCGCCCGCCACAAGACCCAAGAACGACGCCATACGGTATGAAACCCCGCCATGACGAACTCTCGAGGTCAATGGTCGTTTAGCCAGATCGTTGTCGCTTGAGCTGTCCATGAACGAATATCGGTGGGTGTCACTGAACGAACCCGACCGAGCCCATACTTGATCCACCAACATCGACTCACGGCGTTCCGTTTCGTGCATGGATCCTCGACGGCTTGATCCCATCGTTGAGCTGCGGCGACTTGAATCTATCATCGATCCTCGGCGCCCCGACTCGATCATTGAGTCTCTCTCCACAAAGCTGACGCCGCGCAACTCACGCCTACATCCCAGAGTGTCCGCCACTGGCACGTGCTTTGCTGCCCCACCCAAACGCCTAGGCATGTCGGGTGAGTTGGCAGCCTCATTGTCCTGCCAGATCTGGCCAAAGCACTGCATGCAAATACGCGAATTACCTTTCAGCTTTTTGGGAAGGCCCTTGCGCGCACCTAGCAGCGGGAACTTGAGCGTGCAGAACTGGCATCGCCACTTACGGCACTGTACGAATAAAACAGGAGTAGCATAAATAACTTTAGTATAAAACCACCCCACGGACCGAGCGAGAACATGTGCATTCAGCCGCCAAAACGACAACGTACGTAATCGCATCTCTTCGGGGGCAGCAAATCACGCAGCACCTTCAGGTTAGCGCAGTACAGGCACGTCTGGGACGCTTCCTCGTCGTTCACCTCAACGTTGTGCAAAGTGCCACCTCCGGTCGCATTAATGGCCGTCATTCAGGGCAGGTACGCTCTCCGCGTTATTGGCTAGATAGGGTGGTACTGGAAGCTGCCAAGCTGACAATGTCAGTTTTTGTTTACTCCATTCGAAGCTGAAGATGATGGCAGTCGAACCTGATTGATCGAAAATACTTAAAACTATTTAATGTTCAAGTGGACGGGCTTCAGTAACTTTTTTTTATTTTTCACTGTGTTGCAGTTGTTGCTGTGCTTACTATTGTAGACAGCGACTCACGCTGGTGGCATGAGCAGGCTGGACCAGACCGTAACACCCGTGCCCACAAACCCAATCACGATCGCACCAATGAGCAGCAGCAACGGGCCAATCTTCTTGGGGCCCAGCAGCGGGCCATCCTCGAGCTTCAAGATGAATGCGGCAGGGAAGCAGAAGCACACAACGGTGGAGCATGTACCGCCAATGATGCCAAACACCACATTAATACTTGGACAAAAGACAGCGAGAAGCAGCGCTAGCAGCACCAGGCTGCTCGTCACGGCCACATGGCGCGACCACGAGTCCTCCGAGTTGGAAAAGAACATCATATCAATGGTGAAGCGACACGGGAAGATGTTCAGCGGGAATGCCACGGCCACGGTGAATGTGATGGCAGCTCGGCTAATGGCGATTAACGTGTCGTTCAACGGGAAGCTCAACAGGATGTTTCCCTTATACTTGGGCTCCGTGAGCTGAGGACCAAACGCAAGATACGCCACCACACCTATAGACAAGTAGATCAGGAAGGAGATGAGTGTAGCGCGGTCAACTACCTTGTTCATCCGCCGAATGCACGGACGCTGTAGCTCCGTGTAAATCGAGAACACGTTAACCTAATTTTGATGCACAGACAACCATGAGAACGCTGACACCGCCGAGAACACACTACGCGTAGAATGAACTCTTACCTGGCAGGTAAAGGCGAACATAACAATTGGCACACTGAGCATGAAGTTCGGCCCATGACTCAAATCGATAGCCCAGCTAATGTCGTTCGGGATGCCATTGGCACTTGTGTACATAATCGACCGGATGGCCACCGCCACAACGAGAAAGATGATAGAGAGTACGCCCAGGATGGATGAAAACTGGAGACTACTGATGTCCTTCATCATCGACAGTGGAAGCATGATCGTGCCGCAGGAAATCGTCATGAGAACCCATCGCTGCGCGAAAATGTTGTGCGCTCCGAAGCAGAGCTCGCCTAGCGGCGTGATAATATCCCCTAGAGTTACAAGATATGCGACCGAAATCCCAAAACAGAAGACCAGGATATTCACTTCCACGAAAACCGTCATCTACAAATACACGTTAGAACAGGACTCTCACAAAAATGAGCTAGTGGACCGCACCTTCGTGCCGAAGCAGTACATGGCCAGATCCTCGTAAGACTTCAACCTGGTCAATATAATAAATTCACAGTGGCGCATCAGTCGTGTTACAACATTGATGAGCTGCATTTTTTCTCGTACTTGGTAATATCCTCGGCGCGAATCAGCAGTCGAATCGTATACACGGTTAATACTGCAGCCAATACAAGCTGAGCCACTGCAAAACCCAAACCAGAAACTGCGACTGCATACGGTAACGATAGCGCTCCAGCGCCAAGAGTAGCGCCGGCCAAGTTAAAGACCGAACCGCGTATCGAGCCCTTAGATGGTGTGATCGACTGATGGTACGGGAAGGCATCGCTAAGGAGATCGTCGTCATTAGGCTACATAGTATCGAAGGGCATGTGTTAGAGGAGTAATAGTTATGAAACCTTCTATAATTGATCGGGAATCCTCTACCTTCCGGGTCCGCATCGGCGACATCGAGGCGATGAAGCTGCCAATTTTTTTCATTTTCTGTGTGGTAAGAGGACAAGTCAGATAAGTTACGCTTCGTGATGCAGCACAAGCAACACTTGTCAAGTAACAGTGTATGGGGAGGAAAGGAAACGTGACACGGTTTAACAGCACGAACTCACCTTGAAAATAAGCGGCGTGTAGCCCAATTGCTTCAAATACGAATCTCGAAGGGGGCGGTTCTTTGCGTGGACCTCGCCTCGTTCTACATGCTCCATAGAGTCGCGATCGTACACTGTATTGGGAGTGGAAGACAGTGAATTCGAGCGACCTTTTGAGTGCGCGGGGAGCAGTGGCTCCGTGACACCATTGTCGTTCTCGTGGCTCATCGGACGGTCTTACTACAGCACACAAAATGCTCGTTTTGTTAGTAGAACGGTGCAAGGCGCGCGTTGCCAAAATGCCGTCTTCGCCACCAACCTGGGCCCGAGAAATACGGCTTTCTTACGAGCGATCCTTGCCGCCGCACAGTGGGACTATTAATAGTTTAAAGATGCATGTTTATTGCCCTTTCCTTTAAAATTTACAACAAACCGGTCTTTTTCTTATTAAAGAAGACAAAGTTACAGTAATTAATACACGCAAAGCAACACGAATGCAAAAAAAATAAAAGCGCGCACAAAGCTTTGTTTATTCTCGCAGTTTATCCTCACGACGCATTCGAAAAGTTCCACCCGACAGTTCGTAAAATTCCCGTCATGACATTCGCGTCTTGAGAATTGACAGCAAACTTGGCCACTTCCGGTTGCGTCTGCTGCAGAAAGCTTTCCTCATCGGTCCATGATTGCAGCGCAAGTTTCTTGCGAAGTGGCACGGATGTCAACTCCTCACCGAACCTACAGCTGCACATGAGAGGTTGTGCAGGTACTCGATTTTGCTGCTGGAGCATACCAGTTGCACGCGCAAGCATCCACGTAAGCGGTGCAGCGTCAGTCTTGTTAGTGCGTGCACCTGTCACATCCACAACGCTAACATCCTTGAACTCAGATACGTTCCGTGCAGAGCATTCAAAGGACTCTTCGAAAAGGTTCGCGCTGGCACGCGTCACCACACTGTCATCCATGCTGAATGAAGACTGTGATATTGGGACCAACAGCGTCTCTTGCTTGAATGGGACCGAGAGCCAGGTTACAGACTGCCATACTGTGCCCTGGTCATCGAACAGGTCTGTTTGAACCGTGAACTCCATTTCCGATTCCAGGAAACGTTTTTCGGTCAATACCATGATACACTACATGAAAACGATCACTGTTAGCATTTCCGCAAAAGCATATCCTAGCCACTTGCAACGAACCGTGAGCTCTGACGGTGGCGGCGTCTCATCACTTTGAGACGGGAAACTCATGTCCAGGGGCCTCAGCTGGACCATAGTGAGAGCTTTAAGACGAATGTTGCGCACGCTAGCCGGGAAGTTCGAGTTGCCCAATAGTTGTAGGAACAAAGTGCTAACTGCCACCTGCGGGAACATAAAGGGCAGTTGCTCCAGTGCCAGCTTGGGCAGACTCAGCGAGGTGGCAAGCTTAGCAAAATCCGTGGACAGCAGCGCAAACGGACACCGCAGCGTGATACGGGGGCATGGGCTACGCAGAATAGACTGGCGCCAGCCGCGACGTGTAAGCGGCGACAACCAGCAGCGCCAGCGAAACTCCTTCGTGCCCAGGTCGGCTGGAGCAGGCAACGCAGCATACCTACAGCGACGTAACAACGACCGAGTTTGCTTAGTTTGGGGAAAGAGCACTAAAGTCAAGTATACGTCGAAGATCACACCTTTGCACCACATCGTGCTCCCAGGTAGCGGCCACGAAAGCAATGAGCAGTGATACTGCCACGAGAACCAGCAGCAACACCCCAAGAATTAGCATAACCGTAAGATTGACAAAAATTTAATGGGCACAAAAATAGAGACGCATGGAATTATGGGTAAAGCTCCAGGAATTTTAACGGACACACATTCTTTTTTTGACACATTTTATTTACTACATGTAGTAATTGACAACGTTTTCTCGAAAAACCAATTTTGCATGCTACCAAAACATACTATACAATTAGAAAAGCTATCCAGTTTTTTTGTCTTATTGCGAAGCCAATTATTCAAATTCTCTGAATTTCTTATATCCAGAGTTTTATTAATAGGGCATCTCCACCGGTATTTGCGTAAAACTATGCGTAAGCTACGTAGCGGGGTACGTAGCCCTAAGTGTACTCCTACCGGTAGTTACATGAGGTGTGACACGCCACACTTCAGAAGTATGACACGTCATACTTCGAAATATTTGGTACACGGTACCAGAGTCGCCCGAGGCCAACCATTGGCTGATGACATTGCTTTTATATAGGTGACTTATAGTTTGTATATTTAACTAAAGCTTCGCCTACCTATAAATATACTCAGTTTACAACCTACCTTAAATTGGTCACCTCGCTCACTTTAGGTAAAAGGGACCTGTGAACTGCCACTCACTGAGAGTTTGTATACTCTCGGAAGCCAATTTCCTCTAGCGCAAGGTGCTGTGAGACCCCGTCACATACGGCAAGTCCATGAGCACGACGCCTCTCTGCTTGCTCTAATTTAGCCCGATCCAGCGACGCTCATCGTCTTCAAAATGCCAGCTTCCGACTTTGCTCGTTTCACGCAGTCTGTGTCGGACGCTCGCGATCCTGTTATAATGTTGTACCCCCCCCCACGAAGATAGACGTAGCAGATGCGCCACTCGTCGCGTCTCACCGTTCAGATGCGGGTATGAAGCTCTCCACAAGGATGGTCTCCACGTCGTTCTTTCTGATTTTCAGGCTAAGACACAAGCGAAGTACCCTCGTCCCGCGCCACATTCCAACTTCAAATGGAGGCGCACCACGAGCGCTGTAGCGCGTCATGGGTGTTCACGCGAGTCGTTGACTTGCCCCTCGTAGAGCGATACCGCACGAAGTACTGCTTCATGGTTTTGAGCGACCCCGGTTCTTTCGGCTTCGTCACAGCTGTACAGCGCCCACGGCTTCAACTCCGAGTTTATCACGCGAGGCTCCGAGGCGAGTTTCAGCGTCGGAAGGCCTCCTGCGTCGTCCCCAGGGCTCACCGGAGCGTCTGCCATTGTCGGCTGAGTTGTGCGGTCGGTCAAGTGGGCATTGCGGCTCGACAGTTGATGTTCTTCGGAGATTTCCATGATCGCTTTCGGTACCGAAAGCGCAACTAAGGGCCGGTCTATTATCTCGCAAGACCCAAGGCGGGGCCAATCACAGCTCTCATTTGCGGGGTGAGGCACCCTAACTAAGACGTGACACGCCCTCTTAAGCCGCGGAATCGTTATGTGGATCGGCACGGATTTACACAAAAGGCGCAATGAACGGTTATCATTTGCGCTCCTAAATCAAACACAATGAATGGTTAGCAAGCCTGCACGGGACGAAGTAACCGCTAGTGTCAAAATGTCCTCGTTTCATTTTCAACTTTTCAGACAACCAAGAGGAGGAGTAATGATCACCAGACAGCTCAGATAATAGTGCTCGTCTAAATGTATGACACAAAGGACGGAAGTCGGCGATGTGCAACGCCTGCTGCGTATAGTAACCATTTAAAGGATACTTGTGTCGCTGTAACGCGCAGGGATGAATGTCCAGCAGGGAGAAATGGCGCAGTGCTGCTGCTTGCAGCGCGCTGCTCAAGTGGACGAGTGAGCAGAAGTAGCGACGGCCAAACCCGTGGTGAATTTGTAGAATTAAAAGTGCAACTTATCAGCCTGCGATATGTAGAAGTGATGCTCAGGATGCGCGCAGCACGTCCTGGAGTCACCTGCGCAGCAGGTGGAGCTGGGGCGCGGTCCTGGTTCTTCCTGTCCACTCGACACTCTAGGGCAGCTAGCACGACCACAGCGCTCTGCGCAGTCAGCACCACCTCCCAGTCTGCCTCCTATCACTTGCGCTGCTCGAAGTGACGTGGGCTCGAA